GGTGGGGAGTCTGCTTCTCCCTCTGCCCCTCACCTGCTCTTGTGCTCTTTCTCGCTCTCAAATAAATAAATAAATAAATACATACATAAATAAATAAAATCTTTAAAAAAATAAAAGCCAGCCACAAAAGACCATGTCATGTATGACTTCATTTACATGAAATGTCTAGAATAAGTATATATATGTAAATACTGATATAGAAGTAATTGTATGTGAATATATACAATAAGCGAATTATTATATAATAAGTGAATACACAGATACAGAAGGTAGACTCATGATTGCTCAGGACCGGGGGGAAATGGGGAGATAAGGTGGTAATCCCTAAAGGGTATAGGGGTTCTTTCTGAGGTGACGGAAATGTTCTCTAATTGGCTGTGGTGATAGTTGCACAGATCTGTGAATATACTAAAATCCGGTGAGTCTACGCTTTTAAACAGTGCCTTGTACGGCATGTGGATTATATCTCAATAGAGCAATTCAAGAGAAAAATCGCCCATGCTATGACTGGCCTAGCATGACTCTTAGGCTTTCATATGTCCTATGGTGGTTCTGTCTCATGAACACTGAGAAGCAGAAGCCGTGTGGTGCTGTGGAAAGAGCAAAAGCTTTGGAGCCAGTGACCTTGGACAACGTGTTTAGCCTGTCTCGGCTCTGGTTTCCTGTCTGCAAACTGGGGTTAGTAAGGCCCACCTTACCAAGTTGTTGCGGTATATAGGAAAGCCCCCAGCCCCTGCAGTTCTAACATTCCCCGATTTTGAAGTGTGAGGCTTGAGTGAAGAGGGAGAGGTGGGTGGTGTCTGTCTGTGGACGGAGAGGTTTGCCTTGCGTTGAGTCACACACACCCACGAGGGAGCCTTCTCTCCTGTGCGGGCCACAGGCTGGTCAGCCAGAGGGCTAGAAGGATGGTTTGGGGATTCACTGCCCCCTGTCACATCCCCAAATAAGAGAGATGAGGGAGAAGTTAGAAAGCAGGGGGATTTGTGTGAGCTCTAGGGACAGCCCTGCGGCCCTTGGAAACTGGTGGGAGTGAGGCAAAGGGGAGAGTGAAGAGGAAGCCAGACTCCCATAGAAAGGTAGCTCTTTCGCAAGGCAGTGGGATGGGTTGGATGGTTCTGATGTATGCCTTCCCAACTCTGAAACGTCTGCCAAAAATGCAGAGATGCTTTTCTGAAAACAACTGGAGGATAGAAAGAGGTATAAAGAAGAGCTAGACGAGTAAAAAATAAAGCAAAAAAACACAACAATTTGGTAACAGAGGTACTTAAATACTAGGAAAATGGTACTAACAGGCCAACCAGAGTGGTAAAGTACAAGTTCTGGATTTATGAATTCGCCCACTCCCTAAAATTTACTGTTAATTCCAAAATCACTCCTCATGGTACTTTTGAGGGCATTCAAGGACATGAGCAGAGCAGTAAGAAATTTGAGTCACCCCGTGTTCGTGTTCCCTGCTGAGGTCAAACGAAGGCTCTGCCTTCTGGTTTCAGCTCTCCTACTGTAAACAAGTATTTTGTTTTGTTTTGTTGCTGTCTATGTAGTGCTGTGTTTTCTGCCTTGTTTCCCTCTTGGTTGGTGATTTCGCTATATAAATTGACCCCCAGATGTAGCATTGAAGTGCTGTCTGGGGTTCAGAGCAAGCTTTCCTTAAAAAGCTGCCATGTGCCCTATGGAGAGGATCTGTTTGTCAACCTTCATTCAGGCCTGCAATGTTAACGCACCAACAATCCACATCAAATAAAGTGTCTTTAAACTGAAACACACATAAAAAAAAAAAAAGGTTAAGTATTGATCAGCTGACAAAAATTCTGTGACCAGAAGTTCACGGGCACCTAACCCTGTATTTTCTCCAGGAACTGCTATCTGCTCTCCAGTGCTCACGTCTTTATAGACCACCACTACTGCAAACATGAGCATTGGCCACCCATGCTATGTGTTTTTAATGCGTGTTCTCATTTGAACACCCACAAAGTAGGTGTTCTTTTTGTGCTACAGGTAAGGAAGTTGAGGTTATCTGTATTAACGTGACTTAGAGCTCCCATGTGGAAGTGGGAGGATTTGAATCCATTTCTCTCCCACTCTCCAGAGAGGAAGCGAACTCTCTAGCCTGGGAGCCTGAATGCCAGTTCTTAGAAAAGGCTGATCAGGCCCGTGTATCAGGGCTGTTGGGAGGGCACCCGGAGAGCTGAGCGTAGTCAAGAACATGGCCTATCTGTGAAAAGAAGGGGAAAGAACTGGACACGATCATCCAGATGTAGTGTGGTCAGGCTCTGGCTGAGCAGGGGGGAAACGATCATCTGCAACCAGCGCAGAAGAGAGGCACCAGAATGAGGAATGGGTGCCAACCACACCAAGAGAGAAGCAATGGCGGGAACAGGAATGGTTCAGCCTAGAAATGAGAGTGTGGGGTCCTACAGGAGGGATCTTTAAATACCTAGAGGGCTATCTTGGGAATGAGAACTGGAAGGAAAGCAGGTTCAGAGTTATAGGGAGCAGGTTATGACTCGGTGTAAGCACCATTTTCTAATACTCAGAGCTCTCCAACAGGCCAAGATTGGGGACTGGTGGTCAATAGGCTAAATCCGGCTGCAGACATGTTGTGTTGGTTCACAGCGTTTTTGAAAAGTTGTAGTTCAGTGCCCTGCTGTGGGACGTGTGTCTCCAGTTTCCAGAGCCTCTGCCGCTCCCTGTGCTTTGAGTCCCCCTTCACTCATGTGTAACTTGACTTGCCCCTCAAGTATCAGGTTGACTGATTCAGCAAATAAAAATACAGGATGCAGAGTTAAATTTGAATTTCAGACAAATGACAAATCCTTTTTTGTGTAACCATGTCCCATGTAATACTTGGGATATACTTATACTGTGTCTATAGTTAGTTATGTCCCAGTACTTGTGATTTACTAATAAGTGTCCCACATTCAATCTGTCAGCCCTACCCTGGAGGCCTGAACTAGGAGCCCTGGAGGCTGCATTTTGAGGAAGCATGTTCTATATTTGGGAAATACTTGAAGACTTGTCTCAGAGGAATGCTAGGGATGGAAACAGGGCTAAAATGATCTAAATGGTCTTATTTGCTTGAGATTCCCCCGTTTCAGAGAGACAAAACAATAAAAGCTAGAGGGAGATAATAATTCTAAATAACAACCCCAGGTGCTATTCTGGTGTGCGTGACAGGTGGGATGCTGGCTTGTGCTGGAACAGCAGAATGTTGTACCAGAACTGGATTGATGGATAGATACAAAAACATAAAGTGTTTTTGACCTCAAATATCAACTGCTAGTAAAACGTTTGTTAAGTGCAAGTTGATGGACATGTCTACAGCCTGGGCAATGGTGGCAATCCCTTTCTGGATCAGGACATGAACCAAGAGGCATATAACGTCCCCAAAAGGTGATTCTGCTTTATCTGTCAAAAGCCATCTTCTACTTCTTCGAGACTGGGGTAAGCAATCCTGACACTTTTTCCATACCCTGCTGCCAGAAGTGCGTTTCTGGTTGTTTTGAACAGACCGTGGCTGACTCCCCGGGGCCTGGAACATGGTGGCAGTTGATCCGCGAGCAGAAGCTGGCCCTCACGCACGGTTACCAGAGCCTCCGTTTCTTCTGCAGAAAAGGAGGGGCAAGATCTCTGAGGTCATTTCCAGCAATTGTGCCGCTGAAAGTGTCGGTAGTCTTTGGTTATCAGCTAGCCTTTCTGCACCCTCCTCCTGACCTCCAAGGAATTAGGATGTTTATGTTCAGTGCGACTTGAGTGAGCATTTGGTTGAACTCCCTCATTTTGGAGACAGAGCAAGTTCCCTTCATGGGAGGGTGAGGAGGTCTGGAGCTCTTTGTGGCTCAGTGGGTGGCCTCCCACATTCTTCCGTCTATGGTTCTTCTTGTCTCCCTCCCTTACTTTGACTCAAATCTTTCAAGGTCCCTCACTCAAAACAGAGAACATGACAAAAGGCAGGGGGAAGTTAACAAAATGAAAAAAATATTTGGGGGAGAGAATGCACTACACACTAGTGTATGGACTGAAGTGCACACAAAGGGAATATCCTTAGCAGTTCTCATTTGTCCTTTTCTGGAAAAGCTGCTAGGAGACCTGGGCTCTGCCCTCTCTTTTAAAGACAGGCACATCGGGAACATCCCCAGGTTGACTCAGATGCTCATTAAGTATTCCTAATGATGCTGGGTTTCCTTCACCATTCTCCTCTTCATCAGGATTAAACAGAGAAAATCTCAGGGGTTACTCAAAATGAGTAAGACTCAATAAAACTCCATTTCAACTCTTGTAAAGTCGGGACAAATTATTTGATATGTGCTTTTTACAGAAAGATTGAGCTTAAAGTTGAGAAGTAACCGACCCAGCAACCTCTGAATCTTAAACAAAGGCTTTCAGGTGACTTAACGGCTCCACCATTTTCAAGTGATGGCTCTATTTTCACTGTCCATTCTTGAGAGGTATTCTGTCTCCTCCATGAGAACTTCAGGGGACCCTCCCCTTTCCACCTTTTTAAATTTCTCAGGGTCTTGTATTTCTGTTATGCACACGGACCCCCAGCTGGCAGGTGTTGAATGAATGAGTTGGAAATGAAAGGAAAAGAACAGGGGCTCTGGAGACAAATACCCTGGATGAAACCCCGGTTCCTCCGATCACCAGCTGGTGAACTTGGGCAAGTTTTTAGTTTCTCTAACCCTCTGTTTTCTTATTTGTAAAAGGCAAATAAACCACCTCATCTACAGGGGTGTTGTAAGGAGAAAATGGAATAGTGAAGGCACTCAATAAGCAGTAGCTCTTACTGTACCTGTTGAATCTACAGCAAACTTAAGCAATGAGAACCACCACCTGGCAGTATGATTTTCTAACCTTTCAATGCAGTCCCATCCTGTTTGGCACAAAGTTACAGACTGGCCATCTGAAGGATGAGTCGCTTTGTGTAACTGCCCACTGTGGTGGGCACTATTTTACTGGTCCCTAAGAGTGTTTAAGGAGAAGCATTACAGTCAACAGTGGAATGCATGCCAATTGTTTTATTTATGATGCCTACTTGGATGACAAGGCTAGCCAGCACGTGGCCCCCAGGGAGAAGCCTGTGGCCCCATCCCCGTCATTACTCCACAATGCGGCGGAAAGACTGCACAGCTGGGGAAGCTGCACCCCAATCAATGGGCTTCCGGTACTCCTTCTTGTCCAGAAGGTACTGCCTGCCACGGTAGTTGGGTAGCTCGTAGAAAATCCAGACGCCGTCCAGCACCTTACTGGAGTGGACCTCTCGCATGTGAAACTGCTCCATGATAGAGGGGCAATCTTCAGTGGTTTCGTACATCTGGCCATTAAAATCTCCTTTCTCAAAGATCTGAATCTTATACTGGCCTCCACTAGACTGGAAAAACACGGGAGGAAATAAACAATGATGATTATGAAAATCACCAACATGTCAAGAACTCCCAGAATGCTGTGGTTCAGAACCCACCATCTTGAAAGCCAGATGATCTGATCTCCCATCCCCACTGTGCTCTGACCAAAACAGCTGACCTTGGTAAGAAAAACTTAATGCCTTAAAGTACTCAGGAGGTAGAGAGTGTGCTCTGGAAATAATTCGTGTATTCAGTCTTGTGATGAACTGACCTTAGGTTTTATGTAAACCTCAGCAGCCAACAGAAGAAAACACTGCATTAAAGGGTAGGAAATTTTAAGAAAATGCTTCCACATAAAAGTAAAAAAAAAAAAAAAAAGGCGGGGGTGGAGTGGGGAGTAGGGGCAAGAGAGACAGAGAGAGCCGGAGCAGGTGAGCGAGCGAGCAAGCAAGCGGGATCCAGCGGGGTCCAGACTCACCAGATGAACAGCTCGGCAGGAGCTGAGGCGGTCATTGAGGCCCATCCAGTGCTGGTACTCGGGGTACTCGCCCCGAGGTAGGATGTACATGTAGCCCGCGAAGTTGGGCCTTTCGTACACGGCCCAGGTGCCTCCCTCCACTCGAATGGAGTTGCAGCGACTCAGGTACATGTGGAAATCTGCACAGTCGCAGTCACAGTCATAGTGGCGGCCTTGAAAGTGCTTGTCCTCATAGAAAGTGATCTGAAGGGCGGAGCAAACCAAGAGAAGAACTGGGGAGTCGGGAGGCTTTATTCATAAAAAATAAAGACCAAGAACATAATCCCCACTTTGAAAATTCCTTTCTCTTCGACTTTGAGGAGGAAATGCAGAGTTCTACCTCACCTCACAACACCTACCTTCTGGCAGACAACTTTAGTTGTCAACAACAGGAATGAGAACTTTCTGAAGGCTTAAAATGAAGCAAAACAAAAGAGTGCCCTAAGATAAGCCAGACCCACGTTCATGGCTTCCTCCTTTTTGTTCCCATAACTCACGGTACTCATCACATAAGAAAATAAATTATCCGCTTATATATCTCTCTCCCATCAGACTCCTAGACTTCTTCCTGGGGCAAAGACCAAGCCTTATTCAAGCTATGGACCCCTGTATCCTGCACTGGACAAACCCACAATAAATGTTGGATGATGATGAGTGAGTTCCAAATGCAGGCCTTCACTGTAGGTGATATGGAAGATACACAGAGAAAAATAAAACGTATCTTAGCTTTAGAGAGCTTATTTTAGATGGATGTGGAGCATACACATGACAATATTTTATGTTCTGTATTATTATTTTATTGCCAACAGAGTAGTTACAAAGCAACAAAATGACAAGTCAAGAATGTTCTTTGCCTCAAACCCTTTACCAAGTTTTCTCCCACAATCTTTGGGGTAAACCTGAGACCTCTAATGGCACGGCCGCCCGCAGCTCTGAGAACCGGGAAATAATAAACCTGGGCTCTTGAGCTGCATCTCTACGGTCAGACTCACTACTTTAGGCAAGCCGCCTCTCTGGGCTCCTGCTTCTCACTTGTCAGATGAAGGACCAGACTAGATTGAAGACCTGGCTGTAAAAATAAAACGTTCCTATTTGCAACAGGAAATAGAGTTCCCAGGCACTCCTGGGGCTTCGTGACGCAGTTTCTGAAAACCACCAGACGAAATAGACTGTAGAGTTTGCCCCTTCTTGTTTTATAATTCCACAATCCAAGATAAATGTTAGTTTATCATTGAAACGGAAAGCAAGGTGTCACGGAGTCAAGCAGTTAATTCCCTAGCGTTATGCTGCCACCTTGTGGCTAATTTGCGTTATCGGTTTAGAAGAAAATCAGGTCAAGCATTTCACAGGAAAGGAGTAGAGCCAGGTGGCCTTGAGAGGATCTCTGTCCAGGGGCAAAGGAAAAGGGATTACCTGTTCAAAGGAATAAAAGAACATGGCCCACTATAGGGACAAGTAGTTCCTCAAGCTTGGCGCATATAGAGTCTGCGCATATAAGAAGTATTCGGAAATAAAGCCAGCAGCCTGCTGCGGATGCCATGCTAGAATCCCTTTGGTGATGATGTGTGTGGAAGCGGGTCGGTGCTATAGGTGTGGTGAGAGATGGTGCGGGCCAGACAAACGGCAACTGCTAGCTGAGGACACGGAGGGAACAGTCAAAAGGAATGGAGGATTTGGTGACTGATCAGATGTAAGTAATGATGGAGAGGCAGAAACCAAGAAGGACTTGCAAAAGGCCATAAAACCTCAGTGTTTTCTACCCCAGGGGAGACTTTCTAGATCATAGCCTACTGATGGTTATTTCCTTCCACCTTAATCTACCCTTCTTGTCTCTCTCCCTTCTGTTTCCTGTTCCCTACGAGCTTCCTTACCCCTTCTCAGCCCTAAATCATCAACTTCATTTCCTTTCTTCCCCTCCCAAATTTCTCTTCCGGCTCCATTTCCCACTTCAGCATAGCAGATTGAGAGATACATGGCATCCCAGTCTACAGATGAAAACAAAATTGCAGCACCACTAGTTACTAGCCCTGTGACCTTGGATAGGCCACTGAACCTCTCTCTAAAGCTCAGGCTCTTCATTAGTAAAACTGGATAACAATATCCACTGCAGAGGATTGTTCTGAGGAGGGATAATGCCAATAAAGCACTTAGTTTAATCTGGTTCATAATTGCCGATAAACTTTTGCTACTGTTGTTACAGATAAAGAAGTTAAAGGACTTGCCTAAGGTCAATAGCTAGTTACAAGTTTGTTGCAGGCAAGTGAGTGGACTGCTGTGCAAAACTCCTGGTTAGTGACCTGTGACTGATTTGAGCTTCCCTCCCTTTGCTGTCTTCCCGCCTGCACAGTTAGCTCTGCTCCACAAACACCATTTACTCTGTTAGTAACGGAACAAGACTGATTCGGAATCTGAGAAGCTGTTCCCAAAGCCTATGGAAAGATGTTTAGGAAAACTAAGGTAACTTCACTAAGAATTAAATGATTCTAAACTCCTTAATTTAACTTTCATTCAAATTACCTTTGGTTTTTGGTCAAGTTGTCACCAAAGAAAAGAGGCTTTGCAAGGGATACGCTATAGGAAATAAAGTTAGTATCTTTTTTACTTGAATGTTTCTCACACTTCGTGCCCTCTGCTCATTTGCCTGGCTAACATCTATATACAGGATGTTTTATAAGGTCACCTTGCGGGCCACCCTTCCAGCAGACTAGCCAGTCATTCCAAGGCTGAAACAAAGTACTGTGTTGCCATGGAGCCATTACTGAGCTCCAGAACCAAGCTCTCCTTTCAGTGGGAGAGCTTCCAAATCTCAGAGCCCAGAGAATGTTGTATTTCTACTCAAATTCCATGTGCAGAAGGACCATGAAATCTACTCTATGGTGAGCTGAGATTCTTGGGCAAAAAAAAAAATTGTAGAGAAGGCTAAGAAATAGTACTGGAGATTTCCCTAGAAATTATTACAAAATTCCCCTCATTTTCGTTTAGTTTTTGAAAAATAGCCTATTAATCCAATATAGCACAAAGAAAAATGTTGAGTATTTGAGAGGCAACAAAACCAAATTTAGTAAAATGCATTGTTCTCGCCAAGCCTATAACTCTGATTAAATTGCTAGTAAATGGCGGGAAAGGGAGAAGCAATAGAGAAAGAGATAAACTTGCTCTTTTGGCCTAGTAAGCAAGTTAGCTAACCACCATGAACAGCGCAGCTACAAGAAATAAGAAAGCACACTATTACTACTCTGGAAATCTTTTGAAAGTGGGGTATTTTCATCTAAGAGGGTTCTTTTTCTTTTTAAGGATTTTAGTATTTATTTGAGAGAAAGAAAAAGAGAAAGAGCACACAAGCAGGGGTGGGGGGCAGAGGGAGAGGAACAAGGAGACTCCCCGCCGAGCAGGGAGCCCGACACGGGGCTCCATCCCAGGACCCCAGAATCATGACTGGAGTCGAAGGCAGACGTTTAACTGACTGAGTCACCCAGCTGCCCCAAGAGGGTTCTGTAACAGTCTTCCCTCAAGGCACATGGATATTCCTCTAAGGACTTAAAAATTCTTTTCAGTGGGATGTGCATGGCATGCTTTCAAGAACCTCAGAGCACTAAAGACACTGTCTCATTTTTCTCCCAAAATCTTTTAGATGACGAGTATGATTATTAGTTTTATTTTCCAAGTGGAAAAAAATCAGGCACTAACCAATTCTGGAACAAGTTAACAGGTGCCTCCTGACATGATGTGATGGGAAATACTTGACGTTGCCTGTTTAACTTTCTGGCCAAAGATGGTTAGTCTGAATTAAAACATTAGGAAACAATCAGACAAATACAGATTTCAGGACTTCCTACAAGACACCTGGTCTGGACTTTGAAAAATGTTAATGTCTCAAACTACAACAACAGAAAGGTAGGGCGACTGTTCCATATAAAAGAGGCTAAAGGAAAAAAATGGTTAAAGAAACATGGCAACCAAAGGTAATGCATGATCCTTGACTGGATCCTGTATCAGGGGAAAAGCCAGCCATGAAGCACATTTGGGGAAGCAACTGGGGGAAATTGGAATATAGTTCGAATATTAGGTATTATATTTATTACAAATTTGGGGGACAAGATAATGATAGTATGTTTATTTTTGGAGATACATGCCTAAATATGGCAAAGGAATTAAGTTTATTTACTGTCAAATGGTTTAGTACAAAGAGAGAGACAGAGACCCAATATAGCAAAAGGCTAACAACTGGAGACTATAAGTGAGGGACATGCAAGTATTTGTTCAACACTTCTTTCTTATTCTGTTAAGATTCAATGGGTTTGAAACTTTTCAAAGTAAAGAGTTGGGGGGGATGTGGAAATCAGGCACCAATGGCTTTGCCTTATACTCACTGGTCAATGGAAGAGCTAAAATAAAGAAATGAAAGTAGAATCCCTCATTCCTAAAGCCCTGCTTAAGAAATCAATTTCCAGTCCAACAACTGTGAATCAAATATTTGAGAGTCAGTTTTCCTAATGTAAGCAAGCACTTTATTTCAGGAGATGGGTAAGAGTAACTGCTTGAATGAAATGGATATGTAGGATTTAATTCACTTGATTGGTCTTTTAGAACATTACTGGTGGAGGCTCACTTTTACAGAGCAGATTTTTAAAAAAAAAGATTTTATTTTCAGTAATCTCTACACCCAACATGGGGCTCAAGCCCTGAGATCAAGAGTTGCATTCTCTACCAACTGAACCAGCCAGGCGGCCCTCACAGAGCAGTTTTTAACTAAATACTAAAAGTTTTCTACTCCACATACTCCTTTTATCAGCATGTCCTATTCCTGGGGAAAGTCACAGAATATTGGTTCCTGGAAGGCAGAAATCATCATGATATCTACCTGTTATATACCTGCACAGTATTGAACATCGCCCTCCCCCACAAAGATAAACCCTTAATAAACTGTTGGGGAATTCTGTCAGAGTAGAAAATATAATGAGCGTTTTTTAATCTTCTCTCCCAATCCCAGCCTTCAAACCACTATCATACTCACCTTTGGGCAAAGAAGAAAAGCTTTTCACCACATTTCTTTCAGTGTATCTTTAGGTACATTGGAAAAGAGGAAATATTCCAAAAGAAAGGAAACACTGGAAAGAAAGGTACAAAGGAAAAGCAAGTGGTAGGCTATAAATCAGTGTGACTGCTAACTTACCTTGTTTCCAGACTTAGACATTTTGGTGCATAGATTGGTTTCCCCAGTGCTGGAATCCAGAATAGCTAGAGAGAGACGCATAGAGACATTTATAGTGCGCTGGTTTCAAATCAAACTAGTAGGGAAAGCTTAGTCATGAGAATAGGATCCAAAAATTGAGTCAGTCATTTAGAGGCTATTGATGGTTTCTAGAAAAACAATTGGGATTATGAAATAAAGGAAAGCTTCAGTACCCCTTCTAATGCTTACCAAGCCTTGCTGCATTATAGACTTTGCTGAGTCAAGGCACCAAAACCCAGCCAAAGTTTTCCAAGTTAAAAACAAAGAAGTCCCCCTTATCTGGGTAATTTGGTTTTCTAGCAAGCCGCCACCTTGAAATCCTCAGTGTCTTCTTTTTTCCTGCAATAGAGCTTGCGGGAAAGTCAAAAGGCTACCCTCTAATTCTGAACAGAAATGACATGTTCCAAAGCAACAAAATGTAATGACTACTAAACACAATGCATGATCTTATGTTTGGAAAATGTCACTACAAAGGACATTTTTGGGAAGATTAGCAAAAATTTTAATCCAGACTGTATATGGTGCCATTGTGGAATTTCCTGAATTTAATCAATTTAATAATTTGTACTATGACTACATAGGAGAATGTCTTTATTTTTAGGAAATCCATGCTAATGTCTTTAGGAGTAAAGGTTTAAGATGTCTGCAACCGACTCTCAAATTGTTGAGTGAAAATACGACTACTGTGCAGAGTGGTAAAGTGAATGTGATGTCACGTTAGGCAAGTGGTAAATCTAGACAAGGGGTACGTGGGGATTCAGATTCTCGCAACTGTTCTTTATGTTTGAAAATTTTTCAGGACACACACCCAAGTTCTAATCCACAAGAAAGGGCTCTACAATATGTAGCCTGAGGGACAGAAAGCTACTGTGAGAATTACGGTCCTACCAAGGTTGAGCTAAGCCCAACTTGCCGCCTGCTTGGTGGCATTTTTTTCTGCCATGATATCCTATGGGAACATGCTCAGAGGACATTTCTCGGCACCTATTACACCTCTGACTTTTGGAATGAGATTACATTTTATGTAAATTCAAAGAAACCACAAATCAATCCTTCTCCATTTTCATTTTCCTGGTCAAGTATATTCTTCTTAAAAGTCCATCTTCCTCATGTTTTCACCAATAAAACTATCCAACAAATGGGATGCCCCCAAGACATATTATGGTCAATTCAGAAAATGGTAAATGTGCCTTGATAGGAAGATTACTGAGAAACAAATTAGTAAGTTATGTGCTTAGCTTTCTGAATTTGGTAAACTGGAAAGGATCTAAGTGATACCATTAATTTCATCAACCAATAGCAATTTCCAAAACACACTTGTTACTCCAGTGTTTCTTTATTGAATTCTCTCTTGAACTTCATCTTAAAATAAAAACTATGAAAACCTCAGAATTAACACACATTCTGAGAGTTAATTTTCACTTTAGATCAAGCCCTTTTTTTGATATAATTACTAAATCAATGACCAGTGAGCATACAAAACAGTGTTTATCAGTGGATTCATTTAATAATTTAATAATTAATAATTTAATAATTCTTTTTCCTTTATCTTAAAGAATACAGCTTTCCCAATCAAATGTAAACTTTATTTTGACATAACATCACAAAGTGACATTGGTAACTGAGAGGAAGAATACATGACCCCAAAATGCCCTACTTTAACATGTGGATTATTTTGAGCTAAAGGCAATGAAGACCCTGCTGATTCAAGAAAAACTTTCCCTTAACTACCTAAAATAATTCAGATAGGGAGCCTGGCCCAGGAGAGCTATTACCAGAGGGAACTTTTAATCTGAATGACCCATCTGTATGACAAGGCAAACATCTAACTGCCACACATCTGCTCTTCTTAACATCCTGTGAATTACCCTTTGAAACCCCAGGCCCATATTCCATTCCTTAGCTCAGGGTAGCATATAAACCAACTGCCTGACTTGTTCCTGGACTCATATTCTTATGAGGCTCCCACAGATATCTAATTAAAATTGTTTTTCTCCTGTTAATCTGTCTTATGTCAATTTAATTAATAGACTAAAGCCAAAAGAACCTAGAAGGATAGAGGAAAAATTCTTTCCTACCCCATAAAACCTATTCTAAAATTAAAAGCAAATCTTTATCTTTTTTCTCAAAAGGAGAAAATTACTTTTTAGAGTTTGCTTACTGAAAATTTGAAGCAGAAAATGAAAAATACACAATTTCATTGTTTCACACTTTTAAGGAATAAAATATCTCTGTATAAAACTATTTCTGCTATATTTATACACCAACAAACTATACTTTCATTCTAATTATTTTTTAAAAGGAGTAGCAATTTCCTTTTAAATAGTTTCAAAGAACTATAAAACTCGTATTTAACTCTAGAAAGGATGAGACCCTTTCATCATACAAATTAAAATGTGAAAGTTACTCGCAAATCTACATTCAGTCACTTTAATATTAATATACAATGAAACTGCCTTCATCAACTTCATTTTGGCAACACAAAGATGAGCTTTCTGATGTTCTATAACAATACATTTATATAATAGTCAGAAGTTCATCTAAAATTCGACCTAAACAGTAATACATCAGTATGGAATGGAAATCAAGGAATGGTGTTAAATAGGAAGGAAAAAGCCCCAGTGTCTCTTGAGCAGCAAGAGCATCTTCCCAATTTAGTTTCAAGACGTGTACCATCTTCCATTCATCATCCTCCTGTTTCCAGGCCCCTGAAGATAATAAGAGAAAAATATCAGTAACTTAATTTTCTACTGCTTTCATGCAAATAATAGGAAAAAACTTCTATTTACAATATCATGTAAATCAAGGCCACGTGAGAGTTTATAGAGTGTTAAATACATAAGGTTTTAAGGTTAATTATATTCCTTTTTTTCTGAGGGTCACTTTAGTTCATAATAGAAGAAAAGACATGAAGAAGTGGCAGGCTATCGGGATTAGCCTCAACTAAAACTTCACCTTCTTATAGTTCCCATTTCCTTTGGGTAATCCTCATCAGATTCCTAATTCTTAATCTCAGCATTTATTAAATAAGTATTATAAAATTTTTTGTGTAAAAAGTAATACACAATTTAAAATGTAAACAATCTATAAACAATAAAGAGTAAGTTTTTGCAGTTTTGGAAAACAGTTCATTTCCTCAAAAAGTTAAACCTATAACCTTGCAATTCTACTTCTAGGTATATACCCAGAGAATTGAAAACATATGTCTACACAAAAACTTGTACACTAAAGTACCTAACAACATTATTCACAATAGAAGTGAAAACAACTGAAAAGGGGAAACAACTCAAATCTCGGATCAACTGATGAACGGATAAAGTGTGGTATATCCATACAATGGACTATTCCAGCCATAAAAAGGAAGGACGTACTGATGCAGGCTACAACATGGATGACCCTAAGGCCATAATGTTAAGCAAAAGAAGCCAGGCACAAAGGCCACATGTCCAATGATTCCATTTATAGAAAATGTCCAGAGTTGACAAATCAAGAGACAAAAAGTAGATTAGTGGTTGCCACGGACTAGAGAAAAGAGAAGATACTGGGGGTGGAGGAATGAGGACTGACTGTCCATGTATACGGGCTTTGTTTTTAGGATGATGAAAATGTTCTGGATTTGTCAGTGGTGAAGGTTGTACAAATTTGTCACTATGCTAATAAAAGCCACTGAATCCTTCACTTTAAAAAGGTGAATTTCATGGTATATAAATTCTATTATCAATAAAAATTAAGAGTAAGTTTTCAATCACCGTAGACATCTAGTCTCATTCCTCAAAGATAAACACTTTCAATAATTTATGTCCTTTCAGAAGTTTTTAAGGCATATAATTAGCATATAAGTATGTGTGATAAGCCCTCTCTTTTTTCAAACACACAAGGCAATATTTTACTCCTCCTTTTCTACCTTCACCCCTCCAAACCCCCAGCTTAGATTCAGTATCAGCACCTACAGGTGGTAAACAAAATGCCTTACCAGTGTTGTATACCAGCTTTTGATCCTTGCCAATCTGATAGAGGAAAAATAGTATCTTACATTTCTTTAATTTTAAGTAAAGGTATCTTTGTGTTTGTATTTTTCTGTGAATTATTTAATATCCTTTGTCTGTTTTTCTATTGTTAGTCTTTTAAAAGACTTCAAAACAAAAAAGTAAACTAATTCCTATATTGAAAAGAGTATTTTATATTTGGATTAAATGACTTCTAGTAAATTTGTCTGTATCCATGTTCTCTTCTATTGGATCTGTGATCTTCCAGAGTTCAGTATACAAATCTTCATTTGGATTAATTCTGGTAATTTATTAATGCTCATGTGCAATTAACAAAGATCAGTTAACTTAATTGATTGGTGTGTGGGTGATGGGAAAGCCGAGAGATGTGTTAGAAAGGGGAAATACAGATGAAAGCTATGTATGGGGAAAGTAGTATCTTTGGACAGTACAACCTGTACTAGGGAAGAAGCAAAGAAGACAAAACTTGGCCCTTACATTTGCCCATTATTCCAAAGGCTCCACCTATGGAATAGTTTGGTTTTCACTCTAAAATGTGGCAAAAATGGGTATGTAAAGTCTGTATATGCTAGTGGGTCTGGCGGAGAAAAAGAGGCAGTGCCCAGTAACATAATATTCTGCACAGCCTTTTTGCATGCTTGTAAGATTTTCCCAAGATAATTTGTTCTAAGTGGTCTACGTTATAAATGCCCACCAGTGTTTCCATGTAGGAGTCTTATCCTGCTGCTTGTTTGGAGCCTGCGGCAGGGGGCACAAGACTGTCCAGCTGTTGCCGATGTCCCGTATTAATCAACCACTCATAAAACTTATTCTCCACAAGTACCTGGAACTGCTTCCTTTGATCCCTAAAAGCGCCATCAAGAACAAAAAGAATCTAAGAACACCAATTCATGTTCATTTTATTCCAAGTGATTATAAAGCACTTTTAATGGGATAGACATTAAATTATTTCTAGTTATCCATTTATTCCCTCCAAATAACTGCT